TCGTGATCCGTAACTTAAAAAAATTATATAGACTAAAATCAATCTAAAGTCGTTTCAACCAATGTTAAATCACTGTGAAGAAAATGAGACTTAATTATTATCTTAAAGAAATTTCTTTTTTTCAAACATTAAAATAAATAATTTTACAATAATAAATTATTATTATAATATAATAATAAATAATTTTATAATAATAAATTTTATCTTGATATACCTATATAAAATTAATATAATTATATGAAATAAAATTAATGATTATCTTATATAGAATTAAATTGGACATTAATAATTCACTTGGGTATAGCATATATCCAACTCAATTCGATAACTTTTATAAAAATAAACATATTGCAAATTTTGTTAAATCGAAATGCTAAACTTTAAGAAACATAGTCGTATCAAGCTAATATCTTTATTAATATTATAAAAATTATAACAAAAAAAAATTTGGAAAATGAAAACTGGATATATCATATCCAGAACGGCATCGAAGGATTGTAGAAAATCGTGTTTTCGAATTAAATATAAGATAATTTATAACAATTGTAACAAATTTCTCTGTTAATGAAATTAATCCAACGCAAAGAATTAAAATTATAATCTCTCTAACTAAAGTTTTAAGTAATTTATATATTGATCTTTGAAAAATTATTAATACAAATATATAAAAAGATGTTTCTGTAGTCATATGCAGAAAAGTAAGTTTTTGCAAAAGATTTGTGCTTGGTTGAAGATTTTTCTTTTTCTGATTAAAGTTTTCATCGAAGTCTTGTAAAACTTATTTGACGAACATGCTTTTGTGAGTTACAAGCGCGTATATATACGCGGAAGTTAGCCGAGTTTCCGCGTTAGTAGAAAACTACCTGTGTGCCACTTAGATAGAACGCATAGATGTGAGCGAGATCAACGAGCAGAGATGCTCATCAGCTCCCTTTCTTGCCCGGTCCTAAATAGGATAGGGAGTCAAGTAACTCGGCGCCTACCGGCAGCGCGGCGACGATAGTAAACCTACTCGTCTCTATTACAACTTGATATATGCGACGTACACACGTGGTATTCGTATTCGTATTCGTGATAATAGATAGCGGGTATCGCGAAGCGGCATCTCGAGCGAAAACTCGAGCTTCGTCGCTCGCAAGACAAAATGACGACGGTCGCAATTGTCGACTTTCTGCATTCGAGGAACGTGAAAATTTCGTCAAGCATGAAACGCGATTCGCGAAGAAAATCTTCACGGTAGCGAGTTTAAGAGACCGAGTTTAAGATGAGCGAAATCTAACCCTTGATCTCCGAGCAAATTTTATGAATCGTGAAAACTAGAAATGCTGCCGTCTCTAGTAAATACAGATTGAAACCTAATTTTGATAATTGGTTATCTCGATATAAAAATTTACGAAACAATCATTGATTGCTTAATTTTTGCATAATTATCTTATATGCGTACTATTTCTCAATGAAAAAAATTATTTGTGAATAAAGAAATAATACTTATTTATATATAATAGAGTATATATGGAATTATTCGACATGGAATGGATTTCGACCGGAATTATTTAATTATTTCATAGATTTTTCTTCAAGTTTTCTAGGAAAAATAAAATAATTTCGAATCCATTATCATAAGTTCCATAATACAAACTCTGAATGTTTGCTCCAAATTTTGTAAAGACACGACTTTCAGAATTAATTTGAAAAAATCGCTATATATTATTTTATGAATGTGTTAATAAAAAAGGAAATAAAGATAAGCGCGACATTATAATTTATCAATATAAAAAATATATGTACAAGTTCCCAGTAAATACACGCGATTATATGTATATTAATTTTTTTCATTCAAAATACATAAAAATTGTATACATACTTTCCATTTGTCGCACAGTCGAAAGATTTTATGTTATATCGATCCAATTTTGATGTATGTATGTACTATCGAAGAATATCGTAAAAATTGACCTTATATTATAAGTGCTTAGTGCTGCCATCTAGTGTAACGGCGATTATGCAAAGCTATGGATAAAATAGGTAATGCACTTACCGACAGAAGACATGCGGTAAGTTATCAACGGAAAACAAGCATGATGGCGAACGTTGGCGATTCTTCCCGACGATATGAATTTCCGTTCCTTTTCATGTTGCGTCGATTTTCCGATTATCTTTCGTCGTGTTCTTACTGCATCATCTTGTACATGAAATGAAATAGATGTATTAGACGATTAGACATAAAATATCGAATTTAGTCTTAAGAAGATACCTCTAAAAAAATTCGCGATTCTAGAATTTTTACATTCGTCAAGCAATACCGAATTCAATCGTGTTACACAAGTAATTTAACGAGACAATCGCAAGATATACTTCGAAACATTCGAAACAAGCACATATGTACAAAAAGAGTTGTTTTTAGACGGCAACAATCGCGGGAACCACATACAGGACAGCATTTAAGCAATATTGCAGCAACATTGCAAATATTGCAGCAATATTACTGCGAGCACATTCGAAACGTGACTGTATGATTCGCAACCTGTTTCGCAACTAATCTCCATTCAGAAGTTCACGCAATGTTGCGATTCTAGTAGAATATTGAAATGGTCGAAGCGACCGAAGTAAATTTAGCTGCGATAATTATTTAGCTTACGAAGCTTGAAATTATTTATATATAAATATTCATAGCCCATTCTTATTTCAAGACCACCTTATAAATAATGTCTTAAGATTCTAATAAAATATTTTTTATCAGTATTCACAGTAGGTTTGTATATTTAAAATCGCCTTAAGTACAATGTCTTTAAATATCATGAACCAATCTGGATATTATAATATATAGAATTATTCGAAATGATGGATTTCCGATCGGAATTATTCCAGATTTCCATTGTGTTTTCTAAAGAAAACGAAATAATTTCGGAATCCATTCCGACTTATTCCCATGATAGATGCCTAGAAAGTTATATTAGCATTTTAAGTTATATTGGCATCTTTATACTTAAGGTCTCAAAAGAAGAATGGACTAAACATATCAAACATAGTCTATTTAAGTGATTTTAGTTATCTTTGTTTTTTAGGAGCCTTCATTACTCCTTTTTTCTTATAAAATGTTAGTTATATATATGTAATACGTGATTTCAACAGTTAGAGCAGTATTCAGATCTTATATTCAAGACCGTCTTAGGAAGTTATCAACCAGAGGGCTGTATTAGCGTCTTAAGACATTATTTAAAATAGTCTTGAGATAAGAATGGACTATAGTTACTTTCCATTTACACGGATTCTCAGATAATTCTCACTTGTGACGTCATAACTCAGTTGAATGTGCGTTTCTTTTGCATTCTGACAAATAAGATTTAACTGAGATTTTTGCCTATAATCTACACAAGATCGAGACCGTGTGCTTTAGTCTCGTACTTACTTTAAAAGTGAGATTCGAATTTATGTTGTTATATGATAACTTTTTACCAAAGTAAGCAAATAATGACGTCATTAATCTGATGAAATATTCAGCTCACTTCAGACTCAGTTTCACCTGTGTGCAAATAGAAAGCAACTTATGAATATTACCCTTTAGAGTTGAAAAAAATGTTGATTCGAGGGAACTGAATAATATATTGTATCCAAATAAAATGAGAGAAAAAACAATATTTCAATGTATAATTTCAAAGGGTGCACTCTCTACTTAATGCTCGCGAACACCGTTATCATTCTTAATTGTTTAACATTTGATAAACAAGGATAAAATGATTCCACGAGCATTAATTGATAAATGGATATTAATATTGTTGTAAGCATTAATTAATAAATGGAATACAGCCTAAGGGCATCAACACAAGGATAATTGTAACTGACAATAGATTTGTTCGCGTTGCATGCTCCAACATGCTCTTACCTGCTCCTATTATACCATAGCTTCTACTCACTCCATCATTGGAACGTTCGAGTGAGTAGGAACTACGGTTGAAGGAAGTAGGAGCATGTTGGAGCATGCGACGCGAAAAAATCTCTAATGAGACGACGACTGTAATCCACTTCAATGGATCAGAAATCCATTTACGGGGACAACAAGAAGAATCTAATGAGTCGTTAAACGTGAGTCGTAATCATCGACATATAGACTGGACGGAGCATCGAAACCATCTTGACAGACTAAGAAAGAGAAAAACGAATGTTTGGGTAGTAGTGACCAATAGGACAATAGTAGAGAGTTCCATGCCCAAACATTTATCTTATTCTTTCTAGATCCATCAAGACAAAAAAATCAAAGACATTTTGCCGTATGCTTCGTTCAGTACTATATATCGATGGTCATAGGTCAACGCACAATGTTTTGATTAACCTCTATCTACGACTTAACGTTTTACGACTCAGTTACGGCCATTTTTGTTGCTTAGATCCTAAGACCCAGTTGCACTAATGTCACTTTGACTTTAAGCGAGACTTAAAACTCTGTCTCGTTTTAAAGCCAAAAAAGAGACAGAAAGAGTTTTAAACCTCGCTTAAAATCAAAGTAACGTTAGTGCAATCAGGTCTAATTGGATTTAGAATGCAGTTTCAAATAATTCCAAAAAAAACTCACCAAGATACAAGCATACTAAAATAGATACATATACAGGATAATCTCCATGGCCTTACAACTTAAAATGGCCCATATAAGTAATTCAGAAATTTCTCGTTTAGCCAACAAGAAAAGAAGTTTAAGATCCCGATTCGCGCGTTCAGATCAGTTCAGATTCTCGGCTGCTCGGCTCGCGAGGCGCGAAGACGGAAGAGGCGCGAATGGGCGCGAATCGAATTCGTCATTTCGACGACGAACAGCGCCGACTCTCGTGCGACGACCACGTACGCCGGAAACGATGCGCGCGCAGCCGGCCAACCAACCGATCTCCACATCACACGGACATGGTCGGAGGGGCGCCCGGCGCGATCGGGTGGTGTCTGGTTCCCCCACCACTCGCCTCGATTCGCCTCGCCATTGCTCCGCGCGCCTCGCGCCCTCGCGCCCTCGCGCCGCTCCGCTCCGCTCTGTGCGCATCGTGCCGTGCCACTTGCGTGCGCGCACGTGTGTACGTCGGTGTGTGTGCATGGGTAGATTTTTTCGGTTTTTGAAAGACAGTGCACCACGATGGTGATCTCGCAGGAGGTGCTCTCGAGGGCGGAGGAGATCGCCGATCAGGTGAATCTTGCGGCACGGTTGCGTTCCTTAACCGCTTGGTTGTCAGATGACTCGCGGATCCCGAAATCCGTGGGGCCCCACGCGTGAAAGAATGAACGAAAGGAAATTCAGATCCTGTGGGAGAGCGAATCGCACGGTGCGGGCGGCCCGCTCTTACCAACGTCATCATTCTTTGGCGCGCGTATTTTTCCATATTTTCGCACAAGCGTCTCGCTCCTTGTCGCGTTTCTACGGCCGCAATTAAAACGATTGTACGGCCGAGGTTATGAATTCCACAGGTGAATTTTCCTCGATACAGATACGCAAGTCGCCGACGATCAAGCTGTGATGATTTTTTTCTCTTTCTCAGAGGTTACCCTATAGATACAGTCATTTGATACAAACAGATTTTTTCAAATGGATATCAATATTTTTTATAGCTGCATATATGTACAAGGATGACTTTGATTTTTTGCTGATACGTCCGTACTTATCATCTGTTATTTTTAAATTTGCTTTATATGAATATGAATAGATAATTGAATAAGTTCTTATTTATAAAAATATTACAAGTCTGTAAGTAAATGAAAATGTTACGTTTTCATTTATGTGTTTAATCTCATCGATCGATTTTTATTTAATATTGTTTATTTAATATTGTTATGTTTTACTTAAATGATGTTTATATGTGACTTTAGTGAACATGTGGATCTTATTGCCTACACTTTCACAGACCTACTTTTCATACTTGTGCACAATAATGCGGCATTATTTTCTGATCAGCAAGTTTCAAATATGTATGAGAAAGATAATCTGTATCAAATAATAAGATAAAATTTGTTAAAACAAAACATTCATACAGCACAGATATCTAAAGATTGTTCTAAGTATGTCCTGTAGACATCCTCTAGATAAAGTATACTATGTGGGCAAATTTTAAAAGATAATTTTTTTAAAATTCTTAAAAATTATATTTTTACAAATTGTGAAGAGAATCTGTAGTTCATAAAAATATAACTTTTAAGAACTGCTATGCTATAAGCTTCCGAAATCTTACAAATTATATCTGTTAAACGAATATAAGTCATAATTTTTTTGTTCAATTAAAATTAATAGATATAATTAAAACAGATATTAAGGTATTTATTTATTGTAACAGGTAATCCGCAATGGCAAGCACGTGCTTCCAACATTGGCACGATTATGCCTCATCGCTACATTCCTAGAAGATGGTTTACGAATGTGGTTCCAATGGAGCGAACAGCGAGAATATATGGATGCTTCCTGGGGCTGTGGAAAATTCTTGGCTACCGTCTTTGTCTTTGTAAATCTTGTTGGACAACTCGGTGGATGTGTCATGGTGATTGGCAGATTGCGAGTCAGCATAGCCTGTGGAGTTTTATTCTTCATCGTTATTCTACAAACTATCGCTTATAGTATTCTATGGGACATGCAATTCTTATTCAGGAATTTGGCGCTAATAGGAGCGCTCTTACTAGTATTGGCCGAATCTCGCGTTGAAGGCAGATCGCTGTTTGCCGGCGTCCCTAGTCTCGGCGACAACAAACCTAAGAATTTACTGCAATTAGCCGGTCGAATACTGTTGGCGTTCATGTTCATTACGCTGATTCGCTTCGAAATATCCTTTATGCAGATCCTCCAAGATATTGTTGGTAGCATTCTGATGGTGCTGGTAACAATCGGCTACAAGACTAAGCTGAGCGCATTACTACTTGTTGCTCTATTAACTGCGTTAAACTTTTACCACAATGCGTGGTGGTCCATTCCCGATTACAAACCTCTCAGGGATTTCCTTAAATATGACTTCTTCCAGGTAAGTTCTCTGAGTTTATTAATTACATAAATATTGAATATTTTTATCATGTTAAAATTTATTACAACGAAAAGATTATTTCTTAATGTTTTATTTCTGCAAAGTAATTTTATAATGTAAAGTGAAAGAAAAACTATAAGTTAAATTAAAAGAATTATTTTTGTATCAGGAAAAAATTAAGTAAAGGAAGAACTAATTTTAATTATTTTGAATCTAAAGATTTTAATTGGTGTTTAATTTTGAAATTATTACAATTTTTGTGTGATTCATTATACCTATTGCTTAGTTTAATATATAATTCCAATATTTAATCTTATCCTCTATGTAAATATTCTGACATTCATTTCTTATTTTATTTTATTACAGACATTATCAGTTATCGGTGGCCTTCTGATGATAGTCTCTCTAGGTCCAGGCGGTGTATCGATGGATGAACATAAGAAAGAATGGTAGAAATAATTCCACTTATGGATATGGAAGATGCATGCGTCATTTGGGTTGTTGTCATGAAAGTTAAAGTGAATTATCGTGTCTCCCGTTTTGTCCTTATATGCGCTCAAAAAAAATCATAAACGAGTCGAAACAAGGAACTCATGCATGGATATCATCGGTCTAGAAGCGATCATATTTTATGTTAACTAATCAAATTTTATATTTTAACATTGCGGCAAAATATTCGAAAGATTTCGAGATCAGTAAAACTATATAATATTTTAGAATATAAAGTTAGTATGAAAGAAATAACAAGAAAAAACGTATAAAGTGCAGCTCATAAAAGTTTAAATATTCGCATAAATTTTATTGAATGATCATGTAAAAAAATTAAAATATGAAATAACAATTGTGTTATTCTTTTATATGTTTTAGGATATTTGTACACGTATTAATCAATTGCAAAAGCTTTATAAATTATTTTTAATTTTATATGCCAATGTATTGTTTTTATTTCGTAGATCATTAATACAATAATAAGATGAATTTTGATGAATTGAAGATTTGTTTTTGGCATATAAATAATTTATAAAGTTTTTGCTTGGTATATGTGTACAAGTATCCTGAAATATATAAAAGTAACTAACAATTGTTGTTTTATAGTCTTCTAATTTTTACATGATAATTCAATGAAATTTATATGATTATCTGAACTTTTATGAGCGGTAATGTATACACACATACACATATAATACACACACAAATACACACGTGAAAATATTTAAGACGGTTGACATTGTATATACGACGCTGCGTCTAATGTGGATAATATTTTTTTCCATATATTTTTGATTTACCTAACTTTAATCGCAAGCTGAACCGATTATTTCAAAACTTGTATTTTAATATCGGATATATGCTTCCACATTCTATCTAAGATTTAAGAATTTCCGGGAAAAAGAGATCCGTCGATCCTAGTTTTACTGTAACCTTTTTTTTTAACTTAATTGACTGTAAATAAGTGTTCCAGATTTGTCTTAATTGTGAAATATAAGAGAAAGAGCGGGTTGTTAATGAGAAATCAGCAGGTTAAGGGTTATTATAGTTAGTTCCAATAATATGTCATGCGAAAATAAACCGATCTTAAAATAGCGTGCGTACGAACCTCTCTTTACATCAGTAAAACGAGAAAGAGAGAGAGAAGAAAGAGGAGGAAGGCGGACGCAATCCTGCAAAGTTACTAGGGGAAGTGCAACGCCTTTTCGACATCTTCTCGAGGCTAACCGGCGAGAGAGTAAAGCTCGAAGAAGTCTGAAAAGATGAGAATCAAGAATCAAGGGTGTAAGCGAGTACCTGTGAATAAAGGTACCACTATTTTATACGGGAAACCATTTGCCTATGTTGTAAGATCAGTGGTGCGCGATGAAAGATGCGACCATTGCCTACGAAGGTAAAAAATGTTTTATCAGATATATATATATACATATATATATATATCTACATAAAAAGATAATCTTGATAGAATCGTCTTGTCCTATTGTTCCTTCAATCCCAGCCTTATTTACGTTTTATTGTTATAATTGATTGTTGAACTTTATTATCTTTATGACGTTGCTAATTTATCGGGATCAATTCGTAAAATTATTATATTTGTACAATATTTTATACATATATATAAAATTTAATAATTTTTTACTAATAAATATGCGCACATATTTTATATTAATCTATTTACAAACCTCACTGATGTTGCAAAAGTTTAGCATTAAATATAAGATAAAAGCTTAAAACAGTAAATGCTTTTTATCAGCCCATAATTTTTAATGAATTATATTAATAGTTTATTAAAAATTTAGACTCATTTTTCATCATATATACTTTTTATATTTCATTTTTCTATGTTTGTCAATTTTCTATATTTGCAATGTTCGGAAATATAATTTTATTTCGCAATATTTGAAAATATAATTTTTATTTATGTCAAAACTAATTTATAAAATATATAGATGGAATTTAAACAATCAAACTTAAATTTTTTTTTTTCCAAAATAAGAGTATACAACGTGCATCAAAATTTTCGGAAACGAAGAAGAGAGAAAAAAATTATCAGATCTTCTCATAATATTTTATATTTTTGAAATAATTTTAATCTTCATTATTGCTTGTAACAATATTTAGATAATGTATGCCTGACTTTTAAGTATTCATTCGAAATATTTGAATTAATTTTTAAAATGATGAATATTTGAACATAAAATCCTTTGATTGTAATTCCTTATTATTTAAATCAATTTATTAAATGATGAATATTTTGTCATAAAGTTATTCATTATAAATATATTACTTAAGAGATGACGTGAGAAATAAAAGTTATAGGTAATGTAAAAATAGAAAGTATATATATATATATTTTTTTTTTTAATAATGTAAAAAAAATGCACTTCTAGAAATTTATTTCTACAAATTTTTAATTTAACAGCTGTTTTCAGTAATTCACATATACACATATATATGTATGTATATATTTATATGTATAACAGCTGTTACATTACAAATTTGTAGAAATAAATTTCTAGAAGTGTGCATTTCTATTTTTATATTATCTAAACATAAAAATATCCTGTTATAATTTAAATTCGAATTATATAAGACGCTACAAATATATTGAAGGAAAATGTAACAAGTTAGAAGTTCGAGGTTATGAACAATACCGGTGTTTATATCGTCGAACAAAAACAAGATTAGGTTAGATCACGCTTTAAAATCTTCATATATTCAGAATAGAAAGACCAAATATTTCATAAATGTAATTTATGTCTGCGTTTTCGAAATGAATTCTGACATAATAAAAAAGGGAACGACAATCTTTACTGGTAGACCATTTGTCTTTACTCTTAACTCGAAACATAGGACTACTCGATGTGACAATTGTTTGAAGAGGTATAAATAAACCATATACTAAATATTTAAAACAGCATAAAAATATAAAATTGCAATATTATATCCGATTCGGTTTTCCGTTACATTATTTTAATTTAAATATTTTGGATTGAATTAGTTTTGTATATCCTTTGGTGAAAATTTTTTTTAGAATTCTTTAAATAATTTTTCAGAATTCTCTCTTTAGAACATCTATATAATTTTATACCATTTAAAATATTTTTATACAAATTGGAACACACTTCAGAAGTAATTAGAATCAAGAAAGACTGTCTTTTCTTGACTTCTTCATATAAATATTTGAAATATTTTAAGATTACTAAGATTTCTCATTTTATAATTTCTAGAGAAAATTTATAAAATCTGAACAAGTTTGATATTTTTCATAAGATGCAACATTCTTAAAAATATGAAAATTTTTTTTCACCAAAAGATAAAGCAAATTATTGTACACATAAATGCATTTGGTACACATTATATATTGCTTTGCTATCATGTGATTTATTATTGCAGTGGGAAATTGTTAAAGTGTTCGAATTGTCAGTACGTGTATTATTGTGATCGCAATTGTCAGAAAGAATCATGGCCAATACACAAGGCAGAATGTACATGTTTGAAAAAGGTGTCACCGAAAGTGTTGCCAGATGCGGCTCGACTTATGGCACGTATCATTCTCAAACTCAATCAAGGTGGAGCCGAGGAAGTGGGCTATTACACTGAAAAAAACTTTAGAAGATTCAAGGACCTAATGTCTCGTAAATATTTTTCTCTCTTTTTAAAAAGAAGATATTTTAAGAAAAAAATCTATAAATATATATAATCCATTTGTACCTCTGAATTGTAGATTATTCAGATATAAAAGTGGATGTTAAACGAATGGAACATTTCACCATGTTATGTGGAGTTTTATCCCAGTTTCTCGATGAGACATTTATGCCTAATATCGCAGAGCTGATGGGTATTTATGGCAGGATATGTACTAACTCTTTCAACATACTGGATATCAATATGAATACCATTGGAGTTGGCATTTATCTGGGAGCATCTGTGATAGATCATAGTTGTAAACCTAATGTGATTGTTGTTTTTGAAGGAACTACCATTATTGTTAGAACATTAACAGACCTTCCTTCTTTAGATTGGTCGCAGGCAAGTATTGATAAAGATGTAAACTCCAATAATTGAAAAACATTTAATTTTCTTATTCTATAGCTCTCAAATGATTGAGAGCTATAAATGTTTGATGCAATTGATTTTACTGATAACTCTCAATCATTAAAAACAATACTAATAGATATATTTATACTAATAGATATATTTTACATTTCGGTATTTGTGTAATTTTATTTTGCACAGATAAGAATATCCTACGTGGATTTACTTAATTCTAATAAGGATAGGCGCGAAGAATTGCACAGTTCGTACTACTTTTGGTGTGATTGCGAAAGATGTAAGAAAGAGGAACCAATGGTCGAAGCGGCTGCGTGTCCAAACTTATTATGCGACTCGCCGTGTTCGATTGAAGCTGACGAATGCGAGAAGTGTAACAAGGAAATATCTGTAGAGTTTAAAGAGACATTTCGGGAAGTCGTCGATTTTACTATTCACCACTTGGAAAAAATGAAAACTATGGCTTGTATCCTTTTGATATTTACATGAAGAAACTTATTTTTTTTTTTTTATTTAATAGGATATATGGAATAAACAATGCATTTATTTTATACAACGATACAATTTTTCCTTAATATTTTTTCTTATTAATAACAATAGATCTTGATGTTAGTAAGATATGTTTGAAGAAGCAGAAGGGTATAATGCATAAATTTAATATACAACATGTCCGTACTCTAGAAATGGCTCATATCGCGGCTATGAATCTGAAGTGTTGGGAAGATGCGGAGTTTTATGGCAAGGAACTTGTGCCAGGATATTTGTGAGTGATCATTTAATCTGTACAGATAATATTATAAGATAATTTATAATACATATATTTTTATTATTTTTTTTATTTTAAATGAATAATTCTAGTTAAGGATGTCATTGCTCGCTTTTCAGATTGTATTACGGGGAAATACACCCTTTGACAGGACTGCTGTATCTCACGGTAGGAAAGATACAGTTGCACTTGGAAAAACCGAAAGAAGCGTTCCAAGCACTAACTAAAGCGAACACGGTGCTAACGATAACGCATGGTGATAAACACTCCATAGTGGAAGAAGAATTGAGACCTTTGCTCTATCAAGCTGATATGGAATCGAATAGCGCGTAACGATCTTAAATTTTTGTAATTTTTAT